TAAGGCCAAGTTTTACTCAGGTACAAGCTCTCCCTCCTCTGCGAGGACACATCTGCATGTTCCTCCCCCCTCAACAGCTAGCAATCCAGAACAGTCCAGTGGCACCTTTAAGACCAAATTTTACTCAGGTACAAGCTCTCCCTCCTCTGTGAGGACAGATCTGCATGCTCCTCCCCCCCCAATAGCTAGCAATCCAAAACAGTCCAGTGGAGCCTGAGCGGTGGGTGTCGCCTTCTGACACACGTCCGGTGATGTCAGGGGGTGTGGCATATGCAAATGAGTTATGCTAATGAGTTATGCTAATGAGCTCCTGCACCTCTTTTTCCCTACGAAATGACCCCCGATGGTGACCAAACCTGTACAAAGTATTTCCTTTTGTCCATCCTTCAACCTACTGCCCATCAGGTGCACGGGACGCCCTCAAGTTCTAGTCTTCTGCGAGAGGAAGGAGGAGTGCCCTCTGTCATGTCCCCCAACGTGGTGCCCTTTCTCTGCCTGGCAGGTCACGAGCTCCCCCGGCTGCGCTTCTCCCAGCTCTGCGATGAAGGCACGCGTGGGGGCCTTGGTGGGAAGCCCCCGGGCACTGCCTCTGCAGCCCCCCCCCCGAAGCCGGCCCCGGCCCCGTGCGGCGGCGCCCACCCACCTGGTCCGTGAGGAAAGAGGGCTTGTAGGTGCCGTCGGTGGAGGTGTTCCCGGTGCCCCGGAGGGACTTCATGTGCGAGACGGCCATGCGCAGGATGGTGAGCTTGTCGGGCTTGCGGGCCAGGGCGCTGCAGGTCGGCACCATGTCGGAGAGCTCGGTGATGTAGGCCGTCATCTTGTTCCGCCGCCGCCGCTCGATTTCGCTGTGGTTCTCCCTGGGCGAGAGGTCAGGGAGGGAGAGAAGGGGGACCAGATTACAAAAGCCGGACAGGTCGGCTCCCCGGGGTCAACGCTGCCTTTCGGGATGCAAAAGGAAAAAAAGGGGGGGGGGAGAGGGAAAAGAAGAGGGAAGAGGGTCAGGCGCTTGCATTGCGGAGCTTCAAACACACTCATGCTGGGCATGCCACGGGGAAAAGAAGGAGGAGAATTTCAGCCAAAGGGGCATTATTCTTTCTTTTTTTTTTTAAGGAGCAAAAGACCAGCTGCGCTGGATTAGGCCAAAGGTCCGACGAGTCCGGCAGTCTGCTTCCGGCTGCAGCCAGGAGCTCGCGTGTACAGGGCGTGAACGGGGCGACTGGGCCCCGTCAGAGAACACAGCGCTATGATGCCCCTGAGCCTAGACTGCAATGTTCCCTTCTAAGCTGTGGAGTCCTGTGAGCAAAAATTCTACTTGGTGGGTTACTGGCATTAAAGTTGTGAGCGAGCCATTTGGCTACGGCATAATTTAGTTTGCTCTGGAGTCCTCCCTTCCTGAGCTAAGACAACAATGTGTGAGCTAGAGGCTAAAGAACTGTGAGCTGGCTCACACTAACTCCAGCTTAGAGGGATGTCACTGGCCTGGATGTTGCATTAAGGTAAGGTGGCCGAGAGCCACTGAACGATCCACACACACCCTTAAGGACTGCCCTGCGGCTTCAGAGCAACGATCCGTCTAGACGCAGTTTGGTGCAGTGGTTAAGTGCGCAGACTCTAATCTGGGAGAACCGGGTTTGATTCCCCACTCCTCCACTTGCACCTGGCTGGTGTGACCTTGGGTCAGTCACAAGCTCTGTCAGAGCTGTCCTTGAAAAAGAGCCGTTTCTGTCAGAGCTCTCTCAGCCCCACCTACCTCACAGGGTGTCTGTGGTGGGGAGGGGAAGGGAAAGGAGTTTGTCAGCCGCTCTGAGACTCCAAGTGAAGGGCGGGGTATAAATCCAATCTCTTTTCTTCTTCTTCTAGACCGTCATCCAGTGATCGGGCTGATGTCTCTGGGAAGCTCAGCGATGAGGTGTTAGGAGGAGGAGGAGGAGAGTTGGTTTTATACCCCACTCGTCCCTACCCGAGTCTCAGAGCAGTTTACGACCTCCTTCCCCTTCCTCTCCCCGCGACAGACACGGTGTGAGGTAGGTGGGGCTGAGAGAGCTCTCTATTGAACTGCTCCTTAGAGAACAGCTCTGAAAGAACTTGCAACAGACCCAAGGTCATTCCACCAGCTGCACATGGAGGAGTGGGGAATCAAACCCGGTTCTCCCAGAGAAGGAGGAGGAGGAGATTGGATTTATACCCCACCCTTCACTACCCAAGGGAATCTCAGAGCGGCTTACAAACTCCTTTTCCTTCCTCTCCCCGCAACAGACACCCTGTGAGGTAGGTGGGGCTGAGAGAGCTCTCTATTGAACTGCTCCTGAGAGAACAGCTCTGAGAGAACTTGCAACTGACCCAAAGTCATTCCAGCAGCTGCATATGGAGGAGTGGGGAATCAAACCTGGTTCCCCCAGAGAAGGAGGAGGAGATTGGATTTATACCCCGCCCCTCACTACCCAAGGGAGTCTCAGAGCGGCCTACAAATTCCTTTCCCTCCACCTCCCCACAACAGGCACCCTGTGAGGTAGGTGGGGCTGAGAGAGCTCTCTCGAGGACTGCCCTTGAGAGAACAGCTCTGAACAGAAGGGGAATCAAACCCAGTTCTCCCAGATTTAGAGACTGTGCACTTAACCACTACACCAAATTGGCTGTAGAGAGCCGACCATCCCCTGTGGACTGCCCCCAGTGTCCAATACACAAGAGGTGTATTACCCCAAAACATGGAGGTGCCACCTGGGACACTGCTGGGAATGAGCTGGGGCGCGGGATTCACAGGGCTTTCTTGGCTTAAGACAAGAGATGGGTGGTTTCATGATCTGGGCTGTGCCACCAGAGGCCTACTAGGCCCAGGGGGCCTGGCTAGCAGTAGGTGAGGCTGGGCCTACAACTCTCAGAAGCCCCTGAGAGGTTTTGGAGCCAAAATGGACCAATAGGAAAAGAGGAGGGCTTGGAATAAAAGATCGGGAGCAGCAGGAAAAGCTGTTCTTCTTCCCAGAGGGCAGAGCCAGAAGGGACTGAGGGTGCTGTGGGGAAGAGACCCTCATCCGGAGGGAAGGGTGAGTAGTCTGGTGCCACTTGGAATAGTGAGCTAGGGACAGTATATATTTAGACGCATTAGGGCATTTGATTTATTTTATTTTCGCCCACTTACTGTTATTATTCTGCACCTTGGTTGTTTGACCTCTTATAAAATAAACTATTTTCATTGTTCACTCTGCCTGGTCCTCACGCCTATTATTCGGCCAAACAAGGTAGGTCTGAAGGTTTTGTGAGGGTGCTCTGGGCCTTCTCAAGGGATCCTAAATCCAGAGTGGTGGCAGCGTCATGTGACACCCCACCTAAGCCGTGACGGGTGGTCTTAGTTGTCAAGAACCCAAAGAATGAGATGGCTCGATTCCAGGTGCACACTGTGGTACACCCACGACACCCCAGTCCCGCTGTGGTTTTAGTCTGCGGTAAGACAGCGCGGGGCGCCAACCAAAGGGCCGCCATTAAAACCGCAACCGCGTATCACCTGCTTCTCCTTTCTGGAAGGGGTCCCCTCCCCTTGCATCCTGAAGTCGTCTCAATGGCAGCTGATACTGGGGTTCCCCAACAAGGTGCCCACGGGCCCCCACGACGGCCAACAACAACTTTCCTTGAAAGGTGCCCTGGAAAAGCTGAAATTTCATCCCAGGGCTGAGTGTTCCCCTTGGCTTTCGTCACAGGGTGCCGTGCTCCACGGTGTACAAATGCATCTAGACCGTAATTGCGGCAACCAACCCCGGTGCCCCACCACTCCCCAACTTCCCCCAAAAGAGAGAGGTTACGCCAGGTTTCCTACGGGGAAAACAATTGGGTTAGTGGGTGCAAAGAGAGTGCAGGATGAGTCGGATGCACGGGGACGCCCTGAAATGGAAGATGAAACTGGATGGATGGCAGAGGGAGGACGGAAAGGAGCGAAAGAGTGAGATTCGATGCAAAGGTCTAGAGGGGACTGGGATACCATGAGACCTCGTGCTTCCCGTCTCGGGGGGGTCGTCTTGGGCGGACTTCGCCAAGACAGCCGAACCCTACTGGGGGGGACTCCGCTGGAACACCGGCATGCACTGGACCTGTGCACATTCCCCCGCTCTCTGACTGGTCTGCGCCCTTGGCTGCAGCGGCAGGTGAAGGCATCACCAATGGGCGGATTACTTGGGAAGCGCTGGACTAGGCAGCCACGAGGCCGCACACAGCCGGTGCAGTAGGGTCATACGCAGGCCTTTTGAAGACCAAAAGGGGGGTGTAAATCTTTCGGGAATACGGAAGGAAACCCAGCGGAAGCTCTGCAGACTCCACGGAGACCGAGAGCATCAGGAAAGCCCTGCTGGATCAGACCAGCGGTCCATCAAGTGCAGTATCTTGTCTTACACCGTGGCCGACAACAGGGCACGGAGGCCGAGGCCTTCATAAGAACGTCAGAGGAGCCCTGCTGGATCAGGCCAATGGTCCATCCAGTCCAACACTCTTCTGTCACACAGTGGCCAAAACCCAGGTGCCAACAGGAAGCTCGTCAGCAGGGCCGGAGCACCAGAAGCCCTCCCACACTTCAGAATTGTGCCTGCACACAAAAGCTTATACCCAGAATTAAACTTTGTTGGACTTAAAGGTACCACTGGACTCCTACAATTGCCCCCCAAGCACCAAGAATGCAGAGCGTCACTGCCTCAGACAGAGTGCTCCAATAGCCACATATGGTTTTGTTGTTGTTGTTCAGGCGCACAGTCAAGTCCGACTATTCGCAACCCCATGGACCACATCACGCCAGGCCCTCCTGTGTTCTAAAGAACATAAGAGAAGCCTTGTTGGATCAGGCCAGTGGCCCATCCAATCTAACGCTCCATGTCACGCAGTGGCCAAAACCCAGGTGCCATCAGGAGGTCCACCAGCAGGGCCAGAACTCCAGAAGCCCTCCCACTCTTGCCCCCCAAGCACCAAGAAGACAGAGCATCACTTCCCCGGATATAAGAATATAAGAGAAGCCATGTTGGATCAGGCCAATGGCCCACCCAGCCTAACGCTCTGTGTCACACAGTGGCCAAAACCCAGAGGCCATCAGGAGGTCCACCAGTGGGGCCAGAACTCCAGACACCCTCCCACTCTTACCCCCCAAGCATCAGGAAGACGGAGCATCACTGCCCCAGACATAAGAACATAAGAGAAGCCATGTTGGATAAGGCCAATGGCCCATTCAGTCCAACACTCTGTGTCATACAGTGGCCAAAATCCATGGACCATTAGGAGGTCCACCAGTGGGGCCAGGACTCCAGGAGCCCTCCCAATGTTGCCTCCTAAGCAACAAGAAGAGTATCACCACCCCAGACATAAGCACATAAGAGAAGCCATGTTGGATCAGGCCAGGGGCCCATCCAGTTCAACACTCTTGAGTCACACAGTGGCCATCAGGAGGTCCACCAGTGGGGCCAGAACTCCAGAAACCCTCCCACTCTTACCCCCCAAGCATCAGGAAGACGGAGCATCACTGCCCCAGACATAAGAACATAAGAGAAGCCATGTTGGATCAGGCCAATGGCCCATCCAGTCCAACACTCTGTGTCATACAGTGGCCAAAACCCAGGGGCCATCAGGAGGTCCACCAGTGGGGTCAGAACTCCAGAAGCCCTCCCACTCCTGCCCCCCAAGCATCAGGAAGACAGAGCATCACTGCCCCAGACATAAGAACATAAGAGAAGCCATGTTGGATCAGGCCAGGGGCCCATCCAGTTCAACACTCTTGTGTCACACAGTGGCCATCAGGAGGTCCACCAGTGGGGCCGGAGCTGCAGAAGGCCTCCCACACTTCAGAATTGTGCGTGCACACAAAAGCTTATACCCAGAATCAAACTATGTTGGACTTAAAGGTACCACTGGACTCAAACTTTGCTCTATTGCTTCAGACCGACACAGCAGCACACCTGAATCTATGGTCAGAAACGAGGAATTGGGATGCATGCGTTCCAAGGCCCAAGGGGAGCACACGCCCCGGTTCCACGGCCCCATTATTTCCCGCCTCTTACATCTTCCGCCTTCCTTCTCCAAGGCCAATGGCCGCGTCCCTCACCGCGTGAGACCCACTGACGGGTTGCCTCTGTCCAGTTTCAAGTCCTCGACTGCAGCGGATTCAAAGGAGGGGGAAGCGGGGAGCCGCTATCGAAAGGGGGTTCGGGGGGGTGGGGTCGCAGAAGAGGAAGGGGGAAGGAGAGGAGTGCGAATTCTGCTTTTTTTTTTCTTTGCCATGCTTTAAGAGAGAGATCTCCGGTCTCCTACCTGGCCAGTCTCTCCTTATCCGCTGAACTCTGCTCATCGTCAGACCTAGAAACAAAGGCGGTGAGCTAAGCTAAAAACAGGGAGGGAAAGTATGGCCGAAAGGAACAGGGAAGGGAAAGGAAAATAAAAATAAACTGGGTGGCGGGGGGTGAGGGTGTTTGCAGTAGGTGACCCAGCTGGGAAATACGGCTGTCCGCTCCCAAGCTCTCTGCCCACTAGCACTGCTGAGAAACCGTGGGGCGGCAGGTGCTAGCCTGGAGTGGCATGCGTCGCAAAGAGCAATACGGTCTCTGCCCCGAGGGGCTTACAGCCTGCATCCAATGGACGGAACAGGGGGAGATAGAGAGAGAACACAGGGGGCTGAACTAGGAGCAGAGGGGAGCAAGGAGGGTCGGAATAATGCAGAACTCAGGAGGCGGCATTCTTGTGCAAAGATGACAGGGAGGCCTCCTGTTAAGGTCGTACACGTCTCTCCATTTTGAGTCACTCGCATCGCAACGGAAGAGCGAAACCAAAAAAAATACAAAACTGAACGGAGCAGCTCTAGCCCGTCTGGTGCCCAGAGCTCACCAAAACATACCCCTGGAGCCCACGGAAGGTGAAAATGTGCAAGAGAGCACCTTTGAGCACGTGCAGAGGGTTTTTCCCTGAGCGCTCTGCATGAGTGGTGAGAGGTGCTGGGGTAGACAGACCAACCGCCAGGTTGGCTTGAAACCAGGCGACATCCGTTAGAGAAACTGGGCCCCAAGTATCTGAAGACGGATTTGTTGGTGGGGGAATGACTGACTTGGGGGTTGATAAACGTGTCCAGTGTTCCGTTGGGAGGAGAAAAGCATTCACGATCGAATCATAAATCCTTGGGGGTCCTCCTCCAGGTAAACAAAAACGTTGCGACGATTTACTTGAAACCAAGATATAGACAAGGTCAGATCGGCTCAGCGCTAAAAATATTAAACTCCTGTGTCGGGAAAGCGTCAGTTCTGCAACGTGGCTGAACGACGTGAATCAGCCACACCTGCCTTGCTCTTTTATTTTGCAAAAATTATCTTAACATTGTACGTAAAGTTATTTTGCTTAAGCGAGTCACAGGGAAGCGAGCCCGTGGTTACGGTGGGGCTTGGGGGGGGGCTCGGCCCCCTTCTTAAAGGCACAGCCCCACGAGAATTTCTCTGGAAATGCTTTTTTCAATCATTTTAAAACATTTTTTTAAAAGGCGTGCACTCCTTTCAGCAGAGTAGGGTGCTGTAGTTGACTAATTCCCACACTGAGCAAGGGGGTTGGAGTGGGTGACCTCTAGCATCCCTTCTAACTCTGGGTCAAGAAATTGGCAGAGTTTTCCTGCCTAAGGGTTAGCTTTCTTGACTACAGAAGTCATCACCCATACCTGCTGCCTTCTTCTTTTTTTTTTTTAAAGTACCCATAGGTACACTTTTATTAATTTTTCTTTTATAATCTACAACAAACTAATCTACACACTACAAACAGACACTCTACTACACATAACATGTATGCCAAGAGTACAGTTACATTATATGCTTATAACCAATTACTTAATTAATAGAAACGCTCTATCTCTTTCCATTCTTCTGTCTACTGTGTTCTCAAGTCCATTGTGCCATAATTGCCTAATCTTCTATTGTACTTACATTATACCAATCATAAAACTTTTTCCATGTTTTTTGAAATGTCCACTCTTTGCTTAATCTCATTTCTAAAGTTAGTTTATCATTGGGGGCATACCTGCTGCCTTCTTAGCAGAATTGCTGCGTAGGCTGGCAGACGTGATTAACTTGCGACAGCTGAGAACTGTCGTCTAAACTGAATGACAGCTTGCAATTTAGAAATCTGTCCTGGTAACAGCTTTCTATTGGCTAAACGGCTTCTCTTTCTGCACTGAGAACTTCAGCCCCACCAAAAAAAAATCTACCCCACAAGCCACAAAAGCCTGGCTATAGGCCTGCTGGGAATGAGGAGGAGATGAGCTAGAGGGGTTTTCAGTTTCAAGCTGCCCTGCCTAGAAACTTATTCAGTTTTGCGTAAACAGAGGCAGAGGTTCTAAAGAAGCTGAATTCTGCACCCGACACTATATCCTACCCTTTCTCCGCACCCTGTGGAATTAAATCATGCATACAGCTTTGAATATATAACAGCTTCCGGGAATCGGAGGAGGAAATGCTAGACTCTGAACAAGGATTATGCATGTTTTCCTTCCTTTTGCTGGCTCTGTCAGGCGAGAGACTTTGCACATCCCAGCCTGTTTAAGATAGCGATGCTCAAAATTTGAGGCGCGGCCGATTCCAAGGGGACTGCCGTGAATGGTGCGTCTGTCTTTGAGATGTCAGTGGACTCCTGCCTAATTTCAAGGAGCAAGTGAGGAGTGGTGTATGTCGGAGGATCATAAGGTGGCTTTGGCCCAAGGCGCTGGTGGTTACTGACCTCTACCGGCAGGTTTCAATGCCTTGCCCTCAGCTATGCTGAAAGGTCGATTATCTTTGCATTCGCTATCCCAACTGGTTTGCCCGTGTCAAACGGGAAAGGCTGAGACAGCTAATCGCAACTTATTACATGCCCCCCGTTATACATTACGCAGATTTCAATGAATTCCTCAGGAAGAACAGAGTGATTCTACACTTCCCTCCTTCCTTACCTCCCTACAAATTACTCATAATGTAACAAAATTTTGTATAATGGCATGCACGATACAAAAGCAGATGGCTGAGTCTTCAAGTAATTGACCTCCTCTATAGTGAAACATATGCGAGAATTTTGAAATGCTGCCTTCTAATGGCATATATGAGTCATGCTTTTGTTGGTCTTGGTATTGCACGCGGTAGTTTTTATTTTTTTTTAATACTTTTCAAGCTGATCTTGTATTGAAATAAAGTGAACTGACTCTACTCTAAAGTTCACTAGAAGAAGAAAAGAAGAAACTGGATTTATACCCCGCCCTTCACTACCCGAAGGAGTCTCAGAGTGGCTTACAAACTCCTTTCCATTCCCCACCCCATAACTGAAACCCTGTGAGCAATGCTCCCTCTAAGCTGTGGAGTCTTGTGAGCAAAAATTCTACTTTGTGAGCTACTGGCATTAAAGTTGTGAGCGAGTGATTTGGCTGCTGCATAAATTACTTTGCTCTGGAGCTATCCTTCCTGAGCTAGGACAAAAATGTGTGCGCTGGAGGCTAAAAAACTGTGAGCTAAGCTCACACTAACTCAGCTTAGAAGGAACACTGCCTGTGAGGCAGGTGGGGCTGAGAGAGCTCTTTCAATGACTGCCCTTACTTATTTATAATTTTAGATACCATTATATTTTATAATTTTACTGTTCCCTTAACTGTATTTACTTGTCTTCTATTATACTGGTCTATGACCGTAATAAACACTACAAACCAGACTGCCCTTGAGAGAACAGCTCTGAGAGAACGTGTGACTGACCCAAGGTCACACCAGCTGGCTACATGTGGAGGCATGGGGAATCAAACCCAGTTCTCCAGAACAGAGTCCTGCTGCTCTTAATCACTACACCAAACTGGCTCTAGAGCACAGAGGAAGCAGAAACCACACCCCTACGGGATCTTGGAAACTGATCTTCATGGGGCGCACCAGGCCACAACCATAAATGGGCAGGCCTTGGAGAGCCATGAGCAAGAGCCGGGAGCCACAGTAGGAGGAGTTCACTGATACCTTGCTTTACTGTCTAAGCCACATCACAGAGAAACCTGTTTGTGTGCACTCAGAAGTACCAGAGGTATGAAGCCACCATTTGGAAGCCAGTTACAGCCCGTCAGTGGTGGCGAAACACCAAGAATTTCTGGACTGCTACTCTACTTTACAATACGTGTGTGTATGTACATAAAATTTATTCATATCCCGCCTCTCTCCCTAGTCGCTGCTCACTTCTTCAGATACAGCTAGAATGTCCTTCTATCTTGGAGAGTGGAGTGATTTCAGGTGGCGAACGAGATCTCTCCGAGGTATAAGGACAGATAGACTCACATTCTAGCTCAGGGCTGTCAAACATGCGGCCCGGGGGCCGGATCAGGCCCCCAGAGGGCCTCTGTCAAGCTCGCAGTGTTAACTGGCTGTCTTCTGCTTCTTCTTCCAGTCCTGCTGCTGCTGCGTCATCGTACACACCTGAACAACATACTCAAGATTGCAACAGCTCAGACATTTTGATGCAATAATTCAGAACAAGAGGTGTCCGTTATCAGACACTGTTAAACAAACAAAATATTGCAAGAGTGCTCGTGTTTTAAGCATGTTCTTATTTTAAGCAAAAAAACCCTCCTTTGTGTTTGTGTCCTTTATAAAGTTTATATCTCCGCTACCTGGCATTACATTTTATGACACACATGGCCCCGGCCCAACAAGGTCTCACTTGTGTCACATCCGGCCCTCATAACAAATGAGTTCGACTACTCTGTTCTAGTTGTATCTGAAGAAGTGAGCACGAAAGCTCCTCCCTTGCCACAAATTTTGTTAGGTTTTAAAGGTGCTCCTGGACTCTTACTCTTTTCCACCACTACAGTCAGACTAACAAGGCTACCCATCTTAATCTATGTATGATTTTGGGGGGGGGGATTTCCAGGCATAAGGGTTTTCTGGGAAGAAATTACTACTCACATCAATTTCCCACCAGAATGTTAATTGATTTCTGAGGATTCTTATGTTCTTTTAAACTATCTGCCTGTCTCTTGGAGGCTAACCGACGGTCAATGGAAATAGACCCTCCGTGCCCTTCCTACAGTTAAAAATATTACAAAACTGGATAGATAAACGCCCACCTTCGGCAAATCAATGGATCAAGGACCTTAGAACTCTATCAACATTCGAACACATGGCATATAGACAGTAACTGCGGACAGACTTTTGTTTTGATATCTGGAAATCATTTATAGAAACTTGTGTACAGATTGGAGCTGCGGTGGCTCAAGTGGTTAAGACGCGGAACTGCAGGCTGGACGGTCGGTAGTTCAGCAGTTCCGAGACCCGAGTGTGCTGCGTGATGGAGTGAGCTCCCGTCCCTGGCCCCAGCTCCTGCCAACCTAGCAGTTCGAAAGCAAGAAATTACAAGTAGATAAATAGGCACCGCTTCGGTGGGAAGATAACAGCATTCCGTGCGCCTCAGCATTTAATCATGCTGGCCACATGACCACGGAAACGTCTTCGGACAGCGCTGGCTCTTTGGCTTGGAAACGGAGAGGAGCACCGCAACCCTTGAGTCGGATTCGACTGGCTTTCGAGCAAGGGAAACCTTTACCTTTCGAGCAAGGGAAACCTTTACCTTTACCTATGTGCAGATTGGTCACCGCCATCATAATTTTGTCTTGTATTTTTGTCTTGTTGTTTTTTTCCTTTGTAAAAATCTTACTTAGTTGTTGGATTTGTTTTTCCCCCTTTATTCTTTTTTCCTGTTTTTGTTTTAAAGAGAGAAATTAAAAAATATCTATTGTTGGTCTTAAAGGCGCCAATGGACTCACGACTTTGTTTCGGAATTAACTTTGTTTCAGAAAACGCCGGCGTAACCGCACGTCAAAACCACGCGAGGACAATGCCTGGCTGCCGCAAATGCAGTGGAAATGCTTTCCGAGGGATGGAGAAGAAAGAGGGGGAGGGAAAGCTGGGGCGAATGGGATGATAAAATTAGAATGGGGATGGAAAAGCGCCGTCTCTACGGCTTGCATGGATGGTATGTGTGGCATCACAGCACGCGGCGTTCGGGTTTTTGTGAGCGGAGCCGCAGAAATTCTTACCTGGCAAATCTCTCCTTGTCGTTTGGGAGCTGGTCATCGTCGCATCTAGGGAAGGAGGGAGAGGAGAGAAAAAGGAATTTGATTGCCTTTTCTGTGATTAAGGGGAAACCAGCCTGCAAAGGACAGAATGAAGGCGGAGATGCACGGCAAATGCAAAGCCTACCCAACCCATAATGCCTTGCAATAAATCAAAGAAGAGGAGGAGGAGGAGGAGGAGAGGAGGAAGAGGAGGAGGAGATTGGATTTATACCCCGCCTTTCACTACCCAAAGGAGTCTCAGAGTGGCTTACAAACTCCTGTCCCTTCCCCTCCCCACAACAGACGCCCTGTGAGGTAGGTGGGGCTGAGAAAGCTCTTCCGAAAACTGCTCTTCAGAGAACAGCTCTGATAGAACTGTGGCTTGCCCAAGGTCATCCAGCAGGTGCAAGTGGAGTGTGGGGAATCAAACCCGGTTCTCCCAGATTAGAGTCTGTGCACTTCAGCACTACACCAAACTGGCAAGAAAGTACATCCTCGCTAGAACGTATGAGAGAAAAGTAGAATTATTTTGCCATTTTGGGGCCTGGATTTATTCCTAGGGCCTTCGTTTTTCTGCTGTCCTTCCTTTCTACCATCTTTTCCCCTTAGGCCGGGGGGAAACACTGCCAATTAGCAGAGCGCCTGCTCAGGATCACTTTGGAATTACTCACAAAAGAAGTAGCTGGACACTGAATGCGTCTATCTTAAAAAATGAAAAAATTGTTAAGGAATTGAAAAAAGAATTCCAAATCTTTTTTGACAGGAATATTCAACCAGGAACCTCAATAAATATTGTACGGGATACATTTAAATCCTATGCTAGAGGCTGGATGATTAGACAATCAGCATATCTTAAGAAACAAAGTTTGGAAAAATACTCCCAGATTTAAGAACAGATTAAAAGACAAGAAGAAATGCTGAAACAGAACCCGCCAAATGAACAAAGGAAAATTAAGTTTAAGTTTCTACAACACCAAATGAATTGTTTATTAACACAGGAAATTGCAAAGAAAACGTTATGCAAAGCAGAACTTGTTTTGAAAATGCTAATAAACCTTCCAGACGGTTGGTGTATAGAGTACGTAAAGGAAAGGGGAAAAGACACATTAAAACACTTAAAAATGAGTCGGGAGAAGGAAAAAAATAACTTGAATGACTTAAAAAGACTGTGGGATCGTTTTATGGAAATCTATATAAGAAAAAAGAAGCAACACAGGAACAAACTCAAAAGTATTTGGAAAACGATAAACTGAGAAGGAATAACAGGCCAAAGATCATTCAAGAAAGGGGAAAAAAACAAGTTTTAAAATGTTCAACATATTTTAGCTCCCTCAAATACATCAGAACGTGGAGCTGCCCGACGCAACGGACAGACAGGGAAAGACAAAACAATTTGCTCATTGGCAAGGTTTTTAGCCCTCCAAGAAAGAGCAAAGAAGAAGAGATTGGATCATACCCTGCCCTTTACTTGTAGTCTTACAATCTCCTTTCCCTTCCCCTCTCCACAACAGACACCCTGTGAGGTAGGTGGGGCTGAGAGAGCTCTTTCGAGGACTGCCCTTGAGAGAACAGCTCTGACGGAACTGTGGCTTGCCCAAGGTCATCCAGCAGCTGCAAGGGGAGGAGTGGGGGAATCAAACCCGGTTCTCCCAGATTAAGAGTCCGCGCTCTTAACCACTACACCAAACCTGGGCTCTTTTTCCCCCCCGCTCTTCAATCTGGAAGACTTACGAGTCGAGTTTGAAGAGGGACAATCACAAACAGTGAATTGAGGAAATAAGAAGGGGCTGCGTGGAGCCTGAAATCGCACCAACCAATTCCTTCGGCAAAGAATTCCATGCAAAATGACAAGTCTCTGAGAGCAGCCAAAAGGAAGGAGACCAAACCGGGGCTATTGGCCCTCCGTGCCCAGTATGTGCACCCAGGAAGCACATTCACACATGGTTGCTTTATCCTGAATCAGACCCTGGGTCCATCAAGGCCAGCACTGTCTACTCAGACTGGCAGCGGCTCTCCAGGGCCTCAGGCCGAGCCTCCTGCCAGATCCTTTAACTGGAGATGCCGGGGATTGAACCAGGGGCTTCCTGTATGCCAAGCAGAAGTCCTTCCACTGAGCCATGGCCCCTCCCCTGCAGGCAGACACGGTGCTCTGTGGCCAGCAGGGGTTACTGATCTGGCAGGGAAGCTGGATCATGAAGGAGGAGGAGACTGGATTTATCCCCCGCCCTTCACTACCCAAAGGTGTCTCAGAGCGGCTTACAGACTCCTTTCCCTTCCCCTCCCCACAAACAGACACCCTGTGAGCAGTGTTCCCTCTAAGCTGAGTTAGTGTGAGCTAGCTCACAGTTTTTTAGCCTCTGGCTCACACGTTTTTGTCTTAGCTCAGGAAGGATGGCTCCAGAGCAAACTAACTTATGCAGTAGCTAAATCATCTGCTCAAAACTTTAATGCTAGTAGCTCACAAAGGAGAATTTTTGCTCAAAGGACTCCACAGCTTAGAGGGAACATTGCCTGTGAGGTAGGCGGGGCTGAGAGAGCTCCTTCCAGAACTGTCCTTGAGAGAACAGCTCTTGTCAGAACTAGGGCTTGCCCAAGGTCATCCAGCAGCTGCATGTGGAGGTGTGGGGAATCAAACCCGGTTCCCCCAGAGTAGAGTCCGCGCACTTAACCACCGCACCAAACTGGCTCTCCAGTTAAGAACCAAACACTTTTGTTCACCCCCTTCTCAGGAATCCCCTGGAACACTGGGCGATTCTGCATCTAGCATTCGCTCCACATTTTCTCAACTAGGAGGGAGAAAAACCACATTCAGATACCTCAGGGCAAAGCCGTGCTGACTGCAGTCACCCCTGAACGGCCATAAAAACGGCCATAAATCTATGCAGAAGGTACCATAAAACCCGATGGCCAAAGGAAGCGAAAGCAGCCTGCAATGCAGAGGGTACCATAAAACCCAATAGCCAAAGGAAGCGAAAATGGCATGCAATGCAGAGGGTACCATAAAACCCGATGGTCAAAGGAAGCAAAAGCGGCCTGAAATACAGAGGGTACCATAAAACCCGATGGTCAAAGGAAGCGAAAGCGGCATGCACTGCAGAGGGTACCATAAAGCCCGATGGTCAAAGAAAGCAAAAGCGGCCTGAAATACAGAGGGTACCATAAAGCCCGATGGTCAAAGAAAGCAAAAGCGGCCTGAAATACAGAGGGTACCATAAAACCCAATGGTCAAAGGAAGCGAAAGCGGCATACAGTGTGGGAGGGTACCATAAAACCTGATGAACAAAGAAAAGTTAAAGTGGCATGCGATGCAGAGGGGAATCTCTGCTCCAACGTGGGTTTCATAAAACGATGGAGGGGAAAAGCCGATGCAGAATCGCCCACTGCCACAGGTTGGGGAGAGGAGGACTCAAGTTTTGAAGAATTCTTCCCTGAAAAACTGTCTCAGCCGAGTCCCGCCCACCTCCTTGACTACGAAGCCCGCCTCACCTGAGAAATTTACTGTTCCCTTCGCCGTCGTCGTCAAAATCAAGCCTGGAAGAAGAAAAAAGAAAAAAACAAGGAGAAGGAAAGAAGCGACAACTGTTATCCCAAAAATGCTGTTCCGGCTTCAGCTCTCCAACGACACGGAAACGATCAGAAGGAGAAGAGATTGGATTTATCCCCCGCCCTTCACTCAGAGTCTCAGAGCGGCTGACAAACTCCTTTCCCTCCCCCCTCCCCACAACAGACACCCTGCGAGGTCGGTGGGGCTGAGAGAGCTCTTTCCAGAACTGCCCCTGAGAGGACAGCTCTGAGAGAACTTGTGCCTGACCCAAGGTCACACCAGCAGCTGCATGTGGAGGAGTGGGGAATCAAACCCGGCTCTCCCAAATTAGAGTCCGCGCCCTTCACCACGAGACCAAACGAAGGCCTGTGTGGCTCATGAAAACCCAGGGGACGGCCAGAGCGTTGGTGCCTAGATGCAGGGTTTCCTCTGTGCCCTCCTGCCTGGCACGGCACGGCACACCCACGGGGCTTCCGCGGCACCCAAGCGCCTACAGGATCGCTTACCCCGGCCTCCTCTTGTTCGCTCTCGGGATGATGCTTCCTCCAGACTGCGCGCCTGATCCAGACGTCCCAGAAGCCACCCCGGCGCTCAAGGAAGGGACGTCCGCTGCCATTTCTGGGCAGAGAGGGGGGGGGAAGACAGAGACAAGGGTGACGGTGCCGCTTCCCGGTGCGACATCTGCTTCGAATCGCTCCTCTCCCGGCCTTTTCTGCAGTCAGGCAAACTGGGGCATCGGCAGACTCCAGCGCCGGCTAAATACAGCCACGCCGGCAGCTGGGCAGCTCCAGGCGCATCCCTGGCACATCGCTGCACTTTGGAGGCCAGCAAACAGATTGGTCTGGCACGCTCTGCGGCGCATGGAAAAGCACGCGCAGCCTTTGAGGAGACGGAAGGAAAAGGCGGCCGAGAGGGAGCCCGGAACGGCTACGCTGCTTTCAGACCGCCTCCACCCGCGGCGCTGTTCCTGACCAACGCTCCCTCTAAGCTGTGGAGTCTTGTGAGCAAAAATTCTACTTGGTGAGCCACTGGCATTCAAGTTGCGAGTTAGCGATTTGGGTACTGCATAGATCACTTTGCTCTGGAGCCATCTTTTCTGAGCCGAGACAAAAACGTGTGAGCCGGAGGCTAAAAAACTGTGAGCTAGCTCACACTAACACAGCTTAGAGGGGACACTGCTCCTGACCGCTCGGGGAGTGCAGGAAGGATCGAGGCAGGGCCACGCAGCTGCCATCGGGAGAACCATTAACCAGTCGAAGAACTTAAGTTGGTTGGTTTTTTAAAATATTTCTATAGTGCCTTTACTATTATGCACAGAAAGCCCACTGGGGTAATCGCCAAGACTGGGTTGTTTTTTTAAAATGCATAATGAACATTCTAAGGAATTGAAAAGAGCAAGAGTCCAGGAGTATCATAAAGATGAACAAACTTTGCGGCAGGAGAGGAGCTTCCGCGAGTCATGGCTCACTTCTTCAGATACCATCAGTGACTCACAAAAGCTCATCCCTTGCCTAGAGATGTAAAATTTCCGGAAATTTTGAAGCTCGGGAAAAAAACCCGTTTTCCCCCCAGTTTCTTCTGGGGGAAAATGGAAATTTTCGGGAAAATTGAAAAAAATGCAACATTAGCATTTCTTTTGTCTTTTCTAGAGTGAAAGTCATTCTGTTACTTTAGGAACATAAAATATGACTATGGACATTTTTACTTGGCATGAAATGATCACAACTAGCATATTTAAAATATAGTGTATCCAAACAATTATTACAAACAGAATACCCACCCACATGCAAAAACAAAACTGAAACCTTTTTATTTTCTTCTGACAATAGCACCTCCTAAAGGAAGAAATGCATCTTGTTCTTGCATTGGAGAGTTCAGTTTGTAACCTAGGACTTGCTTGTCCTCAGTGCACAGAAATTAGATCAATCTGATACCATGTATATATATATTTTAGAAATGATCTGGAAAATATTTGAACAACTTGTCTTAAAATATTTTATTCATCATGTTAAAATAAAACGTTCCATAATCATTTGTTTTCTTTTTTCAGTTTTTCGGAAAAAAACAAAAAAGGCTTCAGGAAAAAAGGGGGGGGAACGTTTCCCCCCCGAATTTTTCCAGTTCTTTTCCGGGCCTTCACATCTCTACCCCTGCCACAAATTTTGGTCATCTTTAGGGTGCTCCTGGAATCTTGCTCTTTTCTACTGCTGAAAGGTAAAGGCTTCCCTTGCTCGAAAGCCAGTCGAATCCGACTCTAGGGTTGCAGTGCTCATTCTCCGTTTCAAAGCCGAAGAGCCAGCGCTGTCCGAAGACGTTTCTGTGGTCATGTGGCCGGCATGATTAAACACCAAGGCGCACGGAACGCTGTTACCTTCCCACCAAAGTGGTACCTATTTATCTACTTGCAATTCCTTGCTTTCGAACTGCTAGGTTGACAGGAGCTGGAACTAGAGACGGGAGCTCACTCTGTCACGCGGCACACTCGGGTCTCGAACTGTCGAACTCCAGACCTTCTGGTCTGCAGCTCAGCATCTCAGCCTCTGAGCCACCGCAGCCCCTTTTCTACTGCTGCAGGCAGACTAATGCGGCTAGCCATCTCCATCTATCTGAAGAAGTGAGCCGTGACTCACTAAAGCTCCTCCCCTGCCACACATTTGGTCAGTCTTTAAGGTGCTCCTGGACTCTTGCTCTTTTCTCCTGCTGCAGACAAACGCGCCGACAGAAGAACATAAGAGAAGCCAATGTTGGATCAGGCCAATGGCCCATCCGGTCCAACACTCTGTGTCACACAGTGGCCAAAAATACCAGGGGCCATCAGGAGGGCCAGCAGTGGGGCCAGGAAATTAGAAGCCCTCCCACTGTTGCCCCCCCCCAAGCACCAAGAAGACAGAGCATCCCTTGCCCCAGACATAAGAACGTAAGAGAAGCCAATGTTGGATCAAGCCAATGGCCCATCCGGTCCAACACTCTGTGTCAGACAGTGGTCAAAAATACCAGGTGCCATCAGGAGGTCCAGCAGTGGGGCCAGGACACCAGAAGCCCTCCCACTGTTGCCCCCCCCCAAGCACCAAGAACAGAGAGCACCCCTTGCCCCAGACTGAGTGTTCTTATCTACACCTTATGGCTAATAGCCACTGGACCTCAGCTCTTAACATAAGAACATAAGAGAAGCCAAGGTTGGATCCAGTCCAACACTCTGTCACACAGCGGCCAAAAATACCAGGTGTCATCAGGAGGTCCAGCAGTGGGGCCAGGACTCCAGAAGCCCTCCCACTGTTGCCCCACCCCCAAGCACCAAGAATACAGAGCATCCCTTGCTCCAGACTGAGTGTTCCTATCTACACCTTGTGGCTAATAGCCACTGATGGACCGACACCTTTTGTGGTACCCACCAAGTGTTTTTAGAAAGTGGACTCTGATTGGCCCCTGGAGATTTAATTGGCGGCATCAGGTTTTAGATATGTTGCTTTGATAGCAGCTACGAGGATCTTCACTGGGTAATTGAAGGTCAGCTGTGGCAGCCATTTAGTGGCTGAGCCCACCGTGCTGGGTCAGAATTCCAAAGGTACCTGTAAGCTCAAAAAAGTTTGGGAACTTCTGGTCTACACAATATCACCAGAAGAAAGGCCATTAAAAACAGCCATGCAATTACGATGCCAGGAAGACGCATCAAATCCTATCAATTAGCTCAATGCCCCGAAAGCTCTTCGAAAAGCAGCATGACCTTTGGAAAGACAGCAGGGTGGGGACTCTTTGGAGGCATTCCAGAGCCACTGCGGAAGGGTCTAACCACATAGTAAAAGATAAAGGTTTCCCTTGCTTGAAGGTCAGTCGAATCCGACTCTAGGGGGCGGTGCTCGTCTCCGTTTCCAAGCCGAAGAGCCAGCGCTGTCCGAAGACTTCTCCGTGGTCACATGGCCGACATGACTAGACGCGGAGGCATATGGAACGCTGTCGCCTTCCCACCGAAGCGGTACCTATTTACCTACTTGCAATTTCTTGTTTTCAAACTTCTAGGTGGGCAGGAGCTGGGGCCGGAGACGGGAGCTCACTCCGTCTCACGGCACTCGGGTCTCGGACTGCTGAACTACCGACCTTCCGGTCTGCAACTCACACACAAAGCTGCCTTATACCATCTATAGTCTTTCCATGTGTCTTGTTCCAGCATAGAAGCAAATATCAATTATCAACGTCCAAATTGAAGTATATATCATGATTGAAGTGTATATCATCGACACGTAATCCGGATGCCTGATGCCGCGTTTCGAATAATTCTTATTCAAGCACTGCTGTAATGGGACCCAATCTCAAGAGCTGGCATATACAAAGCCTGAATGGTTAGTCAAGGAGGATTATGGCTAACCATAAGACTATAGATGGTGCTTCTTCTTATATGTTTCATTACTGCACCTTGGCCAAATGATTTACATTATACTTGATGTTATGCTTATATGATTATTACATACTTGTTTATTTTCAGTCAGTGGTGTTTCTTGTTTTGCTTTTTTAACTGGAGATGCCGGGGACTGAACCTGGGACCTTCCGCATGCCAAGCAAAGGCTCTGCCACTGAGCTATGCCCCCTCTCCGTGGCTCTCCAGGGTCTCAGGCGGAGGTCTTTCCCATCACTTCCTGCCTGGTCCTTTTTAACTGGAGATGCCGGGGACTGAACCTGGGACCTTCCGCATGCCAAGCAAAGGCTCTGCCACTGAGCTATGCCCCCTCTCCGTGGCTCTCCAGGGTCTCAGGCGGAGGTCTTTCCCATCACCTCCTGCCTGGTCCTTTTTAACTGGAGATGCCAGGGATTGAACTTCTGCATGCCAAGCAGAGGCTCTGCCACTGAGCCATGGCCCCTCTTTACAGCTCTCCAGGGTCTCAGGTGGAGGTCTTTCCCATCACCTCCTGCCTGGTCCTTTTAGCTGGAGATGCCGGGGATTGAACCTGGGACCTCCTGCATACAAAGCAGATGCTCTTCCACTGTGCCACAGCCCCTCTAGACCTTGCTAATGCCGTCTGGATCTGCTGAGTAAATAGCCTGGCCAACGAAAAATGCCCAGAAGACCTGAATGCCGAAGTGTGTCTACTGGAGGAGAGGCAGCCCTTCCAGTAGGAGGGTTTCTCAGTTAAGAACCAGCTCCTCAAATTGAACCCTGAAACAAACTGGCAATGAGAAAAGAGTTCTAACTTCAGTGCTGTTTGCCACAACGGGTAACGCACAAGCAGCAGCATTATGTACGAGTTCCATTTTCCAAACAACCTTCAAGGGCAGCCCCAGGTAGACCCCCCCGTTACAGTAGTCTGACCTAAAGGTTATGGAAGCGTGAATTAAAATGGCAAGATCAGACCAGTCCAAAAAGGGAGGAGAGTCTTTTAACCAGATGCTGAGAGTCAAAAGCACACATGGCCACCACACACACTCAAGGAGAGAGGTCTAAGGATAGAACTAATCTACAAGAATAACACACAATCCCAAAACAGTCTGGTATGAAAAATTATACAGATGTGTGCTAGATGCTCACAGAAAAATAGAATAGTACAATAACAAAAGAGACTAGATTAAAGCCATAACATCATTTAGTGTCTGGTAATAAAAAACACACACTTATTCCTTCATAGAAAAAATACAAAGGTCGATAAGATTTCACATAGCGGTCTGCTCCAGACTCTCTCAATCTATCTCCCTCTAACAGTCTTGTATTCTTATCCAAATTCCCAAAAGCAGTTTGCTCCAAATTCAATCAATCTGTGTCTCTCCTTCCAACACTTTTTCCGGATATCTAAGTGTTTCAGACCCCTGGTCTTTCCTCAGGAACAAATCCTATGTAGGAATCTTACATTCAATCTGACATTCAAGTTGACACTTTCATTGATGTACTTTTCTGGTAATCTACTTGGGCAAGGTCTCCTCACTTACTTCCAAGCCTGCTGATGCTGCTGCCAAAATCAAATGGACCCAGACTATGCTATGTTCCTGAGGATGCTGTTCAGGGGTGTATCTGTAAGCTGCAAACCTACGATGATGCAGCAGCAGCAGAACTGGAAGAAGACGTAGAAGACAGCCAGTTCCACTGCGGGCCTGATAGAAGCCCTCGGGGGGCTGATCTGGCCCCCGGGCCGCATGTTTGACACCCCTGCACTAATCCTCTGAAGCCCAGAGCCAGGAGGCAAAATCATGAGAAGGCCTCAGCCTCTATATCCTGTTTTTTGGCCCTTCCAGAGGAACTGGTTGGCCACTGTCTGAGACAGGATGCTGGACCAGGTGGAACACGGGTCTAGTCCAACAGGTTCTTAATCCATTTGAAAAAAAGACATTAGACATAAGCAGCATTAGAACTCCGTAAAACAGACGCGTACCGTTACAAAGCCGATAAGATATGCTGTTCTGCCATCTGCAGCCAACAGACCCATCCCCTCCCCACGCACCCCCCACCCTGCACCAGCCTCAGATCTTCAAGCCAAGGGGCAGCGATGCTCCCGCTGGATTTCTGCCAGTCGTGCAGTTTTGAGCCAGAGAGGGTTCCTGCCGGGGGGGGGGGGGGAGGGGAGGCGCCTCAAAAGGAAGCAGACGCAGAGGGAAAGACACGAGCAGCAAAACCAGCCGAAAACAGGAATCTGGATGCCGGATTCACCATCTCGGTCAGCCTCAACACCTCCTCGCGGCCACTTTTCCAAGCATTCCAAGAGTCATGAGTTAGCGGGAGAGTTCTGTATGTCTGGGGTGCCGCCTATTAGAAACACAGCGCCGGATTGACTCTGTTCCTAAAGCAAACACGTTTATGGCCCAATTTTCAAAGCCAAATCAAAATAAAAAAGAAAAGAAGATGGGACTTTCTGTGTACGAGGAAGAAGATGGCGAAGAATCCTACTCACGGGATTCAACAAGCACTAGTTCTAAATCTTCAGAGACCTCGGAATCTGAAAAAGGAGTCGCCGCTCCCAAACCTCGGACAAGGAAGAAACGCAAGAAGAAAAGACTCTGAAACTAAGATAGATGCTCATGCAGTTTTTGTCAAAACGATATTCAAAGCCAATTTTTATTCTTAAACCTTTATTTACAATGTTATCTTAATATTAGTAGGTGATTTAGTTACAAATCCATGTCATCCACATCGTGTCACCTGTTAGCTCCACTCACCCACTCCCTAGTAGAATTGTAGTGTATAGTATCAGAGCCCCACTCCCCTATCCCCTGTAGTAGTTAGTGATGTAGTAACAGAAAAACAATACAATCTTAAATTAAAAAAAGAAAAAAAGAAACACAGCGCCGGAAGGTACCCCCAAGGGTCATCTAGTCTAACCTCCTGCACAATGCAGGGAATTCACAAGAACCCCCCGACACACACACACCCTCAGGGACTGCTGTTCCACACCCAGAAGGTGACAAAAAAACCCTCCAGGATCTCCAGCCAAACCGGCCTGGAGAAAAATCGTTTCCTGACCCCAAAGTGGCGATCGGCATTTCCCCGGGTGTGTAAGAAAGGGCCATGAGAACTCAGCATTGAGGCAACCCTTCCTGCCCTCCCTTCTCATGAACTGCCTAAGTTGACAGAACCAGCATTGCTGTCAGATGGCCACTGAGCCTTTACTTGGAAACCTCCAAAGAAGGAGAGCCCCCCCCCCCCCCCCAGGACCCCCCACTGAGGAACTGCTCTGTCAGGACGTTCTTCCTAATGTTTAGCCAAAAACAGTTCTGATTTCATTTTTATCCACTGAGTCTCTGCACGGTTTACTGTTCCAGCCTGGCACACTTCCAACCAGCCTCTGATGCACACCGGGAATCCTGCTCAATCTCTGGTTTAGGTTCAAGAAGATCACATCTTCCAATCAGGGGTCATTTTGCAAAAAAAGAGGTACAGGAGCTCATTAGGACAACTCATTAGCATAACTTATTTGCATATGCCACACCCCCTGACATCACCGGAAGTGTGTCAGAAGGCAACACCCACCGCTCAGGCTCCACTGGACTCTTTTGGATTGCTAGCTATTGTGGGGGACGGGACATGCAGATCTGTCCTCACAGAGGAGGGAGAGCTTGTACCTGAATAAAACTTGGTCCCAAAGGTGGCCCGGGAAGTTTTGCCCGGGGGGGGGGGGCTCTGCAGCTTACCTGGCTGCATGTGCCCGCCCCCTGGGCTCTTTACTGCCGGAGCTCCGCTCCTGTGTGCTCCTGCAGGAAATGACCCCTGCTTCCAATCACTTCCAACTCGGAGACACACCAGGTAAAAGCAAAAGGCCTGTGCGTTGGCTGGTCTGTATGAGCTGGTACTCTGGGTGTGCCAATCGAGGAGAAAACGGCAAGAACTCTCACACAGAGAACACAGGGCTGAGTTCCTTTGAGGACAGGTAAGTCCGTGGGCGCCTCCGCTATCAGAGATCCTGGAGCCGCTGACATCATCGCAAAGATACAGCCAACATTTTGTCGGCCGTAAAAACGCCCGGGCGGACGCGCCTCAAAGTTAAGGCGGAACATCGGCCTGGGAAAAAAAATCCACAAATTGGAAAACCAGAGCAACCTTTGCTCCAAAACCCTCTGCTGAATTGCGCCGCCCGGATGGAAGAACTCTGCTGCAATAAAAACATAATACAGGAAAAGACGTGTTTTATATCGAGGCGCCCATGGAAAAAAAATACCCACCACGATCGTTTAAAACCCTGCCGCGGGGCTTTCAGGAGTCCATCCCAGCTGCAACAGGCATGATCTAATTAATACCACAAGCCTGTAAAAATACAGAGGAACAAGTCGTAAAACAGCCCGAGCACTCTCCGGGGGCTTTCCCCCACCCCCTTTCCCTCTCTCTTTTTTTCAAAGTTAATAAGATCATCTTCATGTACAAATCCTGTCTGGAGCAAGGGGGAAGAAGAACAGAACATCGGTGACGCAACACGCCCACGGTTCCGCTCCTTCTCGCATTTGCAGAGTTGAAAAATCGATTTCTGACCACTGCCGACGGTGCAAAGAAGGAGACTGCACTGAAAATTAGTTTCAGCA